CTGTCAGCCCTAAGCAACCACTAATTAGTAAATTAGTCTCTATAGATTTGCCTATTCTTGACATTTCATATAAATAAAAAATATATAATATATAGTCTTTTGTGACAGGCTCCTTTCACTTAGCATAATGTTTTCACGGTTCATCCAAGTTGAGGCATGTATCAGAACCTCATTCCTTTTTATGGCCAAATATTTCATTTTATGGCTATACCACGGTTTATCAGTTCATTAGCTGATGAATATTTGGGTTGTTTCTATTTTGACTATTATGAATAATGCTGTTTAAAATGTAAAAATTTTTGTGTGAATGTATGTTCTCATTGCTCTTGGATATGTATCTAGGATTGGAATTATTAGGTCATATGATAACTCTGTGTTTAAGTTTTGGAAACTGCCAGACTGTTTCCCAAAGAAGCTACACCATTTTACATTCTAACCAGAAATGTATGAAGTTTGCAGTTTCTTCATGTCCTTTCCAACACTTGTTATCATCTGTCTTTTTTATTATAGCCATCCTAGTGTGTGTGAAGTACAATATTATCTCATATTTTGATTTGCATTTCTTTGATGACTAAGAATGGTGAGGATTTTTTTCAGGTGTTTATTTGAAATTTGGATATCTTGTTTGGAGAAGTGTCTAATCAGATCTGTCACCCATTTTTTAATTAGGTATTTGTTTTCTTAGTATGAAGTTGTAAGCATTCTTTATATATTCTAGATAAAAGTCGTTTATCAGATACATAATTTGCAAATGTGTTCTCCCATTCTGTAGGTGGTCTTTTTTTTTAAATGGTATATTTTGAAGCACAAAGTATTTTAATTTTGATGAAGTTCAATTTATCTGTTTTTTTTTTTTTCTTTTGTCACTAATGCTTTTGGTGTTACACCTTAAAAAGGCTTTTTTACCTGAGCACAGTGGCTCACGCCTGTAATCCCAGCACTTTGGGAGGCCAAGGTGGGTGGGTCACGAAGTCAAGAGATTGAGACCATCCTGACCAACATGGTGAAACCCTGTATCTATGAAAAATACAGAAATTAATTGGGTGTGGTGGCACGTGCCTGTAATCTCAGCTACTCAGGAGGCTGAGGCAGGAGAATCGCCTGAACCTGAGAAGCAGAGATTGCAGTGAACCAAGATCACACCACTGCACTCCAGCCTGGCAACAGAGAGAGACTCCATCTCAAAAAAAGAAAAAAAAAAAAAAAAGGCCTTTTAAACCCATGGTCATGCATATTTACGCCTATATTTTCTCCTAGGACTTTTATGTTTTAGCACTTATGTTTAGACCTTTGAACCATTGGGAGTTAATTTGTGTATATGCTATGAGGATAAGATTCAACTTCATTCTTTTACATGTGGCTATCTAGTTGTCCCAGCACCCATTTGCTGAAAAGACTCCTCCTTACCAATTGAATTTGGTTGGTGCCTGTGTTGAAAATCAATTGACTATACATATGAAGGTTTATTTTTAGACTTTCAATCCTATCCCATTGATTTATATGTCTAATCTTATTCCAGTACCACACTGTTTTAATTACTGTAGCCTTATAATAAGTTTTTAAATTGGGAAATGTGAATCTTCCAACTTTGTTCTTTTTTTCCAAACAATTAGAATCTTTTCCAAGGTTGTTTTGTCTATTCTGGGCTCCTTGAATTTCCATATGAATTTTAGAATAAGCTTCTGTAAAGATATCACATGGAATTTTGATAGGGGTTGCACCAAATCTGTAGATCAACTTGCAGATTATTGCCATCTTTACAAAGTCTTCTGACCCATGAACATGAGATATGGTTTCATTTATTTAGGTCTTCTTTAATTTCTTTCAATAATGTTATTTAGAGTTTAGAATATAAGTTTTGCACTTCTCTTGGTAAGTTTATTCCTAAGTATTCTTTTTGGTGCTATTCTAGTAAATCACATTATTTTTTAAGGCTATTTTTAAAGTCTCTAAAATCAAGATGTATCTTACAATCAGGGGTATCAGCATTTTGTCATAATTCAGTTTGCAGTATTTTTTAATCTTAGTGGACATACATGTGACTTACAATTAATGGCTCCTTAGACTCAAAACAACATAGTAGTAAATGTGAATGTCTGTAAGACATCAGAGGAGATGAGTTGTGGGCATTTGGATATGTCAATTTGGAGACAGAAATGTGGGGGTCATCTGAAGCTTGCTATTTAAGCCACAACAGTGAATGAGATTCCTTTGGGGAAAGAATATAAAGAAGACAAGAAGATCCAGGTTGCAGGTGTGAGAAATCTCAACAAGCTGAAGCAAGTGGAGGGGAAAGAGGTGATTAAAAATAAAAATCCATTTCTGTTGTAAGTTTATTTGTGGTCATTATTGCTGTTGCTATTATTTGCCCCTACACATTTGTCAGAATAATCTGTTTATTAGGAAAATAATATGTTGATTAATCACCAATTCTTTTATTCCCCCAAATCCTCCATGAATACAAGTAAATAAATAAACCTTTCAAGTCTTTAGAGAAGCATTTTAATCTGACTGTGATTTCGGATAGAAAATAGGCACATGTTTATTGCATCTTAACCTTGACTGATGGTCTAAAGGCAGCAGAAGAAAAACACGAGAGTTACTGTAGCATTCACAATTAAAGCCAGAAATGTATATAAAAATGCTTCTAAGAAGTTCATATCGCATTTGCCTGTCACATTTCTATAACGTAAGTAGGACACCAGCTGGTAGTAATGCTAATTCATCCGCCTTTCATTTACTGTGTGTCACTTCACAGATGTTGAATCTTATCCATTCCTTGTTTTTTTCTTTTTTTTTCTTTGTATTTCAAATTCAGTCAGGGGAGATTTTGACCCCCCGGAGAACATTTGACAATGTCTAGAGACAGTTTTAGTTGTCACAGCTGGAGATGAGGTGCTACTGGCGTATGCAGGTAGAAGACAGAGATGTTGCTAAACACCCTACAATCCCCAGGATGGATCCCCATAATAAAGGATCACCCAGCCCAAATTTCAACAGTGCTGAGATTAAGAAACACTACCTATGAGGATAAGTTTATATGTACGTGAACTTTCTGCAGGCAAAGTCAATAGCTTTCATCAAATTCTCATGTGACTCAAACACTTAAGAAACAATGGCTTTAATACATTTTTCATCTAGGCCATGGTAAAGCGTGACATATTAACCTACCTCACAATAGGAGTCACCTCTCTAGTTAAGAAGACTTATCTCTACCAGACAGATTTCACTGTCCCTTTCCACTGCCTACTGTCATTCATGGCTAGACAAACACAGATCTTTGAAGTTCCCATTTCTAGGGCCTCCAAGTACCTCTTCCCTCTATCAGCCAGATTAACATAACCATTATGGTTATAGTGACTATTGGTGACTAAGCTAAAGATCCATGATGTGTCTATTTAAAAGCTGCTCTCTTCAGACACACTTGGTTCATTTGGTCAATATCCATTTATTCAATGTCTACTACGTTTAACACACTGCATATACGGTGATGAAAATAATCTTACAGGTCAACATGATGAAACCCCGTCCCTACCAAAAATACAAAAAATTAACTGGACATGGTGGCGCGTGCCTGTAATCCCAGCTACTCAGGAGGCTGAGGCAGGAGAATTGCCTGAACCCAGGAGGCGGAGGTTGCGGTGAGCCGAGATCGCGTCATTGCACTCCAGCCTGGGTAACAAGAGCGAAACTCCGTCTCAAAAAATAGTAATAATAATAATCATCATCATCATCATCATCTTACAATCTCGTATTAGAGCGTAATTTAAAACTGTAAGAAGGAAGGAAGAGCATGAAAAGTGAAGGTAAGAGGAGCTCAAATGAGGATGAAGAGGGAGAACTGAACACCTTGATCATTGCACGCCATGTTTGTTTTTCTTTTTTCTTATTTTATTTATTGATTTTTAGATGGAGTTTCGCTCTTGTTGCCCAGGCTAGAGTGCAATGGCGCTATCTCAACTCACCACAACCTCTGCCTTCCGTGGTTCAAGGGATTCTCCTGCCTCAGCCTCCCGAGTAGCTGGGATTACAGGCAGCGCCAGCACGCTCGGTTAATTTTGTATTTTTAGCAGTGACAGGTCCCCAACTCCTGACTTTAGGTAATCCACCAGCCGCCGCCTCCCGAAGTGCTGGGATTACAGGCCCGAGCCACCACACTTGGCGGCACGCCATGTTTCATTTCATATTTCTCTCCACTCAAATGCAGCAACTCCTTCTGGCTAGTTTCAGCAATTCTGTGAAATATTCAACTAACAGTTGGTGGGCACTGACATGCAAACCTGGGAAACCACACTACAGGCAAGTTAAGAATAGCCAATGCAAACGCTTTTTTTTTTTTTTTCTTTTTTGTCACTAACAGTTCTAATTAGACACTAATGCTCGAGGGAGGGGGTTAAATAAGCAGAATAAAGCTGTTGTCCTCCGGGCACGGTGTAATCCCAGCACTTTGAGAAGCCGAGGCAGGTGGATCAGGAGGTCAAGAGATCGAGACGGCCCTGGTCAACATAGTGAAACCCCGTCTCTCCTAAAAATACAAAAATTAGCCGGGCACGGTGGTGCACGCCTGTAATCCCAGCTACTCGGGAGGCTGAGGCAGGAGATCGACTGAACCAGGGAGAGTTGCCGTGAGCTGAGATGGCTCCACCGCACTCTGGCCTGGCCACAGAGCAAGACTCCGTCTCAAAAAAAAAAATGCTGATGTCTAAAGTAGTGTTTCCAGATAATAAGCAAATGTAATCATGGTTAGAATAGCCATAGCTCTTGATCAGCTATTGAAAGTTTGCTGCGATTGCCTGTAAATGGAGAGAGAGAACGAGCGCTAGAGGGGGAGAGACCGCAGAGAACTGTAACCATTCGCGGAAGTATTAGCAACTCCGTACCGTATATTGTCAGCAGTAAGACTAAACCCCTCAGGGAGGCCTGGCCAGCACTTATTATTATTATTATTATTATTATTATTATGAGTAGCTGGGACTACGGGCGCGCGCCACCATGCTCCGCTAAGTTTTTATTTTATTTGTAGAGACTGGGGTCTCGCTATGTTACTCAGGCTGGTCTGGAACTCCTGGGCTCGACTGATCCTCCGGCCTTGAGCTCCCGAAGCGCTGGGATTACGGGCGTGAGCCACCGCGCCAGGCTAAGCCAGCCATTTTTTTTTTTTTTAGACGTTGTCTCGCTCTGTTGCCAGGCTGGATGCAGTGGCTCCTCCCGGCTCACCGCAACCTCCGCCTTCCGGGTTCAAGCGATTCTCCGGCCTCGGGTTCCCGAGTAGCTGGGACTACAGGCGCGCGCCACCCCGCCCGGCCCTAGCCAGCAGTTTTTAGGGGGGCTCAGGCTTGAAGCTTGAATTCACTAAAAGTCCCCAGCTTGGGGAAACACCCGGGATTCCCATGAGGGAGGGAGGTAAAGGGCGGCTGGTGAGAGAACAAAGGCTGCGCGTCCGCGTTCGGAGCCGCTGGGCCGCTGGCCTCGCTGGGGACCGGGGCTGCCGCGTCCGGGGTGGCGGGGCTCCGGGACTGTAACCCGGCTGCCGCGGCCCCGCGCTCCTCTCCCGGCCCAGCGCCTCAGCCGGTGCCCAGGAGGGGGCCGCGGAGACTGGCGCGACAGCCAGGGAGGCGCGGGAAACGGGGCGCAGGGCCTCAGGCCCGGCTGCCGCCCGAGTGGGTGAGCAAGCGAGCGACTTGTGAAATACGCCGCGGCCGGGTCATCAGCCGGGACCGGGATCGCGCGGCTCCCAGGGCCAGGTGAAGAGGCCGCCGACTGAGTGCGACGGAGAGGAGGGGCGCCCGGAGACAGAGGGCGACGTTTCCCGAAGTTCACGTCTGCCAGGGTCAGCCCTCGCACTTATGTAACAGGGGCGCGCTGCCATTGGCCCGCGCGACGGCCAGGGCGCAGGCGTGCAAGAGGGTTGGGGGCGGGGAGGAGGCTGCCGCCGGAGGGCAAGTGGGCGGGGCTACGAGGAGCGGGCGGGGCGGGGGCGCCGGGGAGATCGGCGCGGCGTGCGCGGGCACGAGGCGTAGTGGCCTCCCCTAAGGCTGAGGCGGCGGCGGGCGCGCGGCGGCGGCCGGTGTGAGAGGCGCGGGCTGTTGTGCTCCCGGCTCTCCTCTTTCCCCACCTCCGCGGGTGGAGGAGGCCCAGGCGGTACTGAGCGCGCTCCCCCTCGCTCTCTCTCTGGCGTCCTCCCCTTGCCCTCTCGCGCTGCGCGGTCTCTCCGACGCAAGACTGTCCCGGCCCGGGTGAGCAGCAGCGGGGGCGGCGCTGACGCCGCGGGACGCCCGGGAAACGGGGCGGGGGCCGGCCGGCGGTGGGGCGGTGGGGACCGTGGGACTCGCCGCGGGTCGCGAGGGGTCGCGGGGAGCGGCGGGGCCCGGCCCGGCCCGGCGCGGGCCGCGGGAAGGAGGGTGAACTGGGGCGCCTGCCAGGCCCTGCAGGTGGCGGGGTGGCAGGCCGGCCGCGGGGGCGGAGTGGTAACCTTGTCCCCGGCGGCCGCAGGATCGGGATCGCGGGCAGTCTTGGCCTCCGGGAGGCGCGTCTCGGACCCGGGTCCTTGGGGACTGGCCAGGTGGGGGCTGCCCGGCCTTTGGTGGCAGGGAGGAGGAGCGGGTCTCCGAGGCGGGAGAGGCCGGTTTGGGGAGGAAGGTGCGGCAGGAAGCGGCCGGGGCGAAGTGCTGGGTGGCGGAGACCTCACTCTGGGTGCGTTCCTCCTCTGCTCCCCCCGGAACCGCGGAGTTGAACGCTAGGGTCCGTCTCTGGAACGCTGCCTGGGCCCCTGCCTTTCGGATGGTTACGGAGACTCTGCCTACTTCCTGGACCCAAAATCCTTTTCTTCTCTTACTCGTTTGTGTTGGTTTTAAAGGAGCTTTGGGGCCGTGCTTACTTGTTGCCTCCCACGAGAGCGCCTCATTTTAGAGCCCGTCCCTTCGACTACTTCCTTCTTTGCAGCCCCTCGGAAAAGCACACGAAGAGTTGCATTAAAAACCAGCATGTAGGTATTTGTGAACCACGTTTTCCCTCCGGTTTGTTGCATTTAGTCAAGGAACGGTTGTAACTGCTTACGATTTTGTAGAAAATGCCGTCGGCTTGAGAGCAAATCTGAAGTTGAGCTGTCCAAAAGCAGGTGGTTGGTTCGTTTGCGTTTCTGCTTTCAGAAAGGAAATCGATGTGGCGTGTTGTCAGAAGTTAGGGGCCTACCTCATGCATTTAGCCTATTTGATTCAATTTCCTTTATGTGGTGGTTTCTGTCTTCAGAATTAGAACAAGCAACTACTGTCTTTATTAAGTCTCTTCGGGCTTTTTGATTGCTGTTTGGTGACAATGGAAAATGGGATGGGTTAACTCTATTGTATAATGTTATATTTTAGGGAAAGTCCTAAGTGCAAAAGTTAAAAATAATTCTGTGTATCTAGTGACATTGCATTGTACGAGTCACTACATGGAAATATCACAGTAGCTAGTAACTTGTAGAGAGCAAAGAAACTTCTGAAATTAGTGGCTTAATTTTTGAAGATTTTTTAAATTGTGAAACAAGAATTCCCACCAAATCAGTGTATCAGCATACATAAAATACATTGTGTCGAAGAGTTAGGTGAGTGACAGGACTGACTACTTTGTTACAAGGTCCTGATAGTAAGACACTGAGACAGAAAAAATGTTATAAAACATTGATATATGTAAAGATTGATCATGTGACTACTGTCGTCCAAATTATACAAAAGTATCCAAACCTCTTTTCCATGCGAATAGGTTTGTAAGCTTGCAGTAACATCGGACTTAAACATAAATTTTAAAAAATGTGCCATTTGGCTTAGAATTAATAAAGATTTGGGGATTTTTTTTTTTTTTTTTTTTTAGTTTCGCTCTGGTTGCCCAAGCTGAGGTGCAGTAGCTCTGTCTCGGCTCACTGCAACCTCTGCCTCCCGGGTTCAAGTGATTCTGCCTCAGCCTCCTGAGTAGCTGGCATTACAGATGCACGCCACCACCCCTGGCTAATTTTTTGTATTTTTAGTAGAAACGGTATTTCCCCATGTTAGCCAGGCTGGTCTTGAACTCCTGACCTCAGGTGATCGGCCTGCCTTGGCCTCCCAATAGTGCTGGGATTATAGGCTCGAACCACCACGCCCTTACTTTTGTTTGTTTGTTTAAGCAAAAATGGAAGCTTAGTCTTCAAGGACTGTTAGAGCTAGCAGTATTTACCATTGTTTGGTGGGAATGGGGTTCTCATATTAGGCTAGCATGTTAACATTTTCTTTCTTTTTTTTTTTTTTTCTAAGATGAGGTTTCACCATGTTGGTCAGGCTGGTCTTGAACCACCAACCTCAGGTGATCCGCCTGCCTTGGCCTCCAAAGTGCTTGGATGACAGACGTGAGCCACGACACCCAGCTGCTAACATTTCAATTACGAAAATGTATTAGGCTAGTATGTAGTATGCTAGCCTAATATAAAAACTCCATGTTTTGTCAGTTGATTCAGCCAACTATCCTGAAAAGCATTGACCCTCTTTTATATTTTATCTGACTTTCAGTTCATTTTTTTAATGCTAGTGGGAACTTCTCCAATCAGTGTATTTTTTCAGTTTCCTTTTTTGGGGAATAGGAACTCAGTAATTTTTATGAAATGCTTTGACCTCATATCCATTAAATAATTACAGTTCCAATCAGAAAAAGCTTCACCCTTCCCTTGTGAAATTAATATAAATCCATTGTATGTTCCTGTCCTGAATAATTTACATTTAGTTACAGTGCTAGTCAAAACTATATATATATATATATGTATGTATATGAATTCTTAGACTCCAATTTTGATATATTTCAAAAGCAATTGAGACTCATGAAAGATTCTTTATGAACAGGTTTAACTTCTGTGGTCTAATAAAAGCCTTTAAATGGAAAAGTAAAAGTAACTTTTTTTTCAGCTACAAGATTTTTTTTAATCCATTTGGGTTCACTTCAGATCATCAGTAATAAAAAGCGGTATCTTTCAGCTTTGTAAAAGAACCCTCTTAACCACGTTCATTCCCTCAACTTGGAACTGCTAGAGAGCAAAGAAACTTCTGGAATTAGTAGCTTGCTAATAGTCTTATTTTATAATTTGTGCAGCAATCCAGCAAGACCAATGTTTAAAAAAAAAAGTAGTAACAGTTGTTTTATGAAAACTAAGTATTTAAGAGAACAGTTTCCACCTGTTTCAGTGGTCTCCTTTAGAAGGATTAGCTGTCAGCTCTTCCTTAAGGTTATAAGAATCACAACTGCAAGTCACAGTGAATACTAGGAAGGGAAATTGCCTTTGTTGAGTAATCAAATAAATGATGGGGAGTGGCTAATCTTTTTTAGTAAATCTTTGAAGATTACATACAGTAAAGTGCATAAATATTAAGTGTACAGTTCAGTGAATTTTTACAAGTAAACACACTTGATTCAAGATAGAGAACATTTTCAGAACCCCATAAGTCCTCTTCTTGCACTGTCTTCTCAGTCACTAACGGTAACCCCCAGGGTGACTCCTTTCACCATAGATTAGCTTTGCCTGTTTCAAACTTTAAATAATGCATAGTCTCCACAACTGGCTTCTTTCCTTTAACATTGAGATACAACCAAGTTGTTACTTGTAACAATTTTTTAAATGCTGCATAGTATTCCCGCTGTATAAATACTATAAAAATGTGTATACAAGATGTGCATCCATTTTACTGTTGATAGGCCTTCAGATTGTTTCCAGTTTTGGAATAGGCACTCTGAACATTCTGTACATGTCTTGGGTACATAACATTTGCATTTCTATTGGATATATACCAAGAGTGGAATTGCTGGCTCATAGAATAAACAGCCACCAACTAGCTTTCCACAGAGTTGTGCCAGTAGATACTTTTGTAGTATTTGTATGTGGGAATTTTAATACCTATGCATTTTTATTTGCCAGATGTTTCTATAAAACTTAAAGCTTCAATTCTAAGAACGTTCTTATGCTTAGATTACTCTGTATTAGAGTAAATAAGCCACTCTAATGCATTACCTTCTGTTTTTAGATATGGCTCGTGGACAGCAGAAGATTCAGTCTCAGCAGAAAAATGCCAAAAAGCAAGCTGGACAAAAGAAGAAACAAGGACATGACCAAAAGGCTGCTGCCAAAGCTGCCTTAATATATACCTGCACTGTCTGTAGGGTAAGGGGATTAGAAGATACAGCTCACCTGTGGGCAGTTCTTTCATTATAAATTGGTTTGTGTAGATCAAAATTTGGAAACCATGGCAAAATAGATGCTTTACTTGAAATAGTACGTTCAAGAGCTGATTCTTTTAGGTATTATCTCATTCATCCTTTCAACAAATATATTTTGAATGGCTCCTATGGCCAGACAAAATTCTCTAGGTGCTGGGGAAAACGAGTGAACAAAACAAAATCGCTTTACTCATACAGAATAAAGCTGTCTTCATAAGGACATATGATACACTTCACTAGCATATCATATAGTTCTAAACCACATTCTTAGAGCTATATGATATGCTAGTAAGTGCACCTCTGGTAATATCATTGGCTTTTTTTCCTTCTTCTTCACTAAATCCATCGTTAGGATGTCTATAAAACTATATAGAGTATATTCATGTTGAGAGCTTTTCCTAGAATTAATGTGTTTTATTAGATTTGAAAAACAATAATTACAACAACTACTTTTGAATGCTTACCATATGCCAGACATAGATCCAGGTGTTTTACATGTATTCACCTATTTGATCCAGTAACAACCCTATGAGATAAAGTACTTTTATTACTCTCATTTTACAGAAGAGTAAACTGAGTCATGGAAGTTAAACAATTTGTGTGGGGTCACCCTACTGGTTAGTAGAAGAGCTGGAATCTGAAGTCAGGCAGTTCAGCTCCGGAGTCCACCTTCTGGACCACTACTGTACTGCCTCTCAAAGAAGTACTTCTGAAATTCCAAATCAGAGCCTCTTACCTGTTTGTTTAAGCTCATTACCCTTGAAGTTAGTGAATGGCAGTGCCAAAGGAAACCATAGTGGGGTTAGTTTCCTACATATACACTCAAAATAATAAGGTCTTGGGCAAATTAAACTCTGGGTTTTAGTTTTCTTATCACATGAAATGAGGATGCTAGAAAGAGCTACAGATTACTGTGAAGATTCTGTGGAAATTAAGGTAACATGCTTAACATAATAAGGGTTCAGTAAATGTTACCTGTTGTTTGCTGTTAATCAGATAAGCAGAATACATTCTGTGTGACCTACCTTTCTTTATATGTGAAATATGGGAACGTTAGGAATTTCTTTACCACAAAGTCCCTCTTCATATGCCAGCCACTGAGTTGTAGGAATTTAAAGATGTTTTTGTGATAATTGTCTATCATGAGAAGGTTCAGGATTCTAAAAAGTAACACATTTTTTATTTCATAAATAAAGTCTAGCTCTCTTTTGCACAATTTTTTTCTTAGACACAAATGCCAGACCCTAAGACCTTCAAGCAGCACTTTGAGAGCAAGCATCCTAAGACTCCGCTTCCTCCAGAATTAGCTGATGTTCAGGCATAAGGTTGTTTACAGGTAACCGACCTCTTTTTTATTGGTTTGTTAATATCAGGTTTGTAAAAAGACCAAAACTGTCTTCTCATAATGTGAAATTAATTTCTGCCTTCTGAGACTTTGTTGCTTCCACCTTTTAATGTATAACTTAAAAGTCCCTTTTTCTCAGACTATTTCCTTTCAATGCCTTTGAAAACATCCAAAGTTTTATTACTGTAGCCAAAAATGGGGAGATGAATACATGCGGGCCAACTCTGGTCCAAGAATGGAAGAAACTTACCAGTTTAAAGGAAATAGCGATTACAAAGATATTTGAGAGTTTTCCTCTGAAACAGTGTACACCAATGTTCCTGAGCACCTTTTTAGTTATTTTACTTATAATAATTAGCAGATGTTCTTTTTTCCCCCAACCCATCCCCCTAGCAGAGTTTATGAGTATTAAAATATAGGGCAAAATATAGATATGTGCTATGTAAATTTGTTTATAAATTTGTTGTTTGAAAGTCATCACTTTACACATTATATTTGGTTGGAATCTTTCCCTCTAAAGCGTGGAGTTAGTGGTGGGTGTGTTGTGTGTTTGAGAATTATTTCTTTTTAAAATAAATTCTTCAAAGTTCTGTATATAAAGTCCAGTGACAAGTTTACCAGATACTATCTTCATGGTGTTTCCTCTTAGTTATTTGAAATGCAGATAAGTTGCATTTGTGTAATGGTAACATTCATTGAAAATTTTGCTTATGTTTTATAGGTGAATTCATGACACCTTTGAGTCTTCTACTGTCTCAGACCTTAGGTAACATACCTGCAGCTGCTTTTCTAACAAACTGTTGATCAGCAAAAATAAAGGGGCTACAGAAACACTCATTTTTATGCTGTTCCCTTTTGGGCTTCATGCAAAGACAATTCTGTGTAAATGTACAGTTGACTCTGATTTGGAAATCTGAAAATCAGTCCATCATTGTTATAAAAAATTTTTTTACAATTGTAATTATATTGATGTTCATATTGTGTAAAATAACTCGTTTAATAAAGTAGTACTTTGATTTACAACATCACAGGATAAATGGTTTTAGAAATTCTGTTCTAACTTTCCACATTATTTGCCTTATAAAAATCTAATGAATTCATCAGCTAGAATTGCAAGTGCAATTCTTATATCCCTTTCTCAGCTCCATAACAGGTTCCTTAGTTAAATTAGAGCACTCATTCATTAAAGTTGTGCATACTATTTTATTGGCAGCTGATGATCTAGGTGAAAAATGACTTATCTGCTGCCTTAGTATATTGCAGTTATACATCATTGTCCCCCTCTGATTATTTCCTGTGTTTGAGTTAGAATATATATATATGTGTGTGTGTTGTTTTGTTGGTAATTTTTTTTTTTTTAAGACGGTGTCTCGCTCTGTCACCAGGCTAGAGTGCAGTGGTGCAGTCTCCACTCACTGCAACCTCTGCCTCCCAGGTTCAAGTGCTTCTCCTGCCTCAGACTCCCCAGTCACTGGGACTACAGGCATGCACCACCATGCATAGCTAATTTTTGTATTTTTAGTAGGGATGGGGTTTCACCATGTTGGTCAGGATGCTCTTGATCTCTTGACTTCATGATCCACCCGCCTCGGCCTCCCAAAGTCCTGGGATTACAGGCTTGGGTCACCACACCCAGCCGAGTTGGAATATTTAAAATTGTGGTATGACCTGGCTCTAACTGCCAGTCAGGTGTTCCCTGTAGATAACTGATAAATTCCTAAAAGCAGTTGGATTGTCAGTGAGCCCTTCTGAAAGATTGGGTTCTGATGTATATGCCATAATGAAATAATCATTAAACCTATTGTTTAATGCAAAATATGGAACAAATGTGAACTGGTAAAGATCTGTTTTGATACTAGATTCTTTGAAAATTCTTGAAGTTCTTTAATTTGAAATTGAAATACAATTTTTTAGGTTTTTGGAAGTTATTATTTGGCTGTTTATACAAACGGATTTTGCATTAACAGGAAGATTGGAATGACTTGTGGCAGGATGAATTCCTAGAACCTCCTCCCTCCTTTCTTTTCTAAGTGAGTTGATTTTAGGAGTTTGCTTTGTGCTGTTTCCTAAAATCAAAAGACTAGTGTACAGTATGACTTCCGTCTGAACTTGAAAAGCATTAAAATGGGTCAATATTCACATTCTTTTAGATCTCAGGATGGGGAAATGGGTTTGTTCAGATGGATATGGTAAATCCTACTCAATTAAGGAAGGCTAATTTTAGAGTTCTTGTAATTTGCTTGTTTCAGCTCTTAACTTGTAAAACTACTGTAACTCGGTTTAAATTTTTAAATTAACATGATAGGAAGAACACTAAAATATTTCCTGGTACCTGCTTACAGTCACATATCTGATCCTGTGGATTAGAGAATGCATTCCCTCTTCTGCTGTAACTTGTCATTGCTTTAGCTCTGCATATTTTGCCCACTTTGTTTGTCTTCCCTGTAAGTTTAAGATATTTCCAAGGAAAAGCTTCAGTGCTATAGTTAGCAACTCCTATTCTTATGCCCTTACTTTAAAATAGTACTTTTATTTGTGTATTTAATTTCCTTTCAAATTTAATATCTGTTGTTTCCTAATATGTTGATTACCAAAACGTCAGAATTTTACCTAATTTCTTACGGTTATTGCAGAAGTTCTGGTTAAATCACAACTTAAAACTTTTTAAAAGTGCTTTGAGCATATGTATGTTTATGTTTAGTGACAAATCATATAAAACCATTCACAAGTTTTGGTTTAATTTTTTTTTTCGTTTGTTTTACTGACTGTAATTCAGAATGAAAGTTCTTTTGTTCTTATGTTTAGCCCTTTTTTTAATAAGCAGCCGAAGACACCATATTTAACACTATATCTCAGTGATAGGGAAATAGCTGCTTTGATCTTACGTGAGCATTAATCCTTATACTTCATGAGGGGATTATTAGTACAGTCCCTCTTTTATTGTGTTTGCGTTAAAACGAAACATCCCTGTAATTTAATTTGAGGATTCTTTAACAGATTACAGCAAAGTTCATTATAAAACTGCTATGGTGTCTTCAAAGACTTGATAAAATACACTGAGAGAGAATTGGTCCATTTGTATGCTGTATTTCTATTACTTGCCATAAGGAATGGGGTTAAGATTAAACTTGTTTCCATTCTCTTCATATGGATTTACATCCCCATGTTTAACTAACACACTAGGGGCTCAGTTGTGTGCTGTAATGTCATATTAAAGAAGATATTAAAGAAAACTAAACTAGTCTAATTTCTTCTACATTTTTAAGAGTTTTTATATTCCCACTTTATTTTTTCTTTCTGAACTTAGAGTTGCCTCTTAAGTATAGCTTGGTAGATCTAAGGGTAGCAAGAGATTTCTTTCATTTCTCATTGTTTTCCCTGCAGTCCTTGCCTTTTTGAGTTTGGTAGAATACTTGGATGAAAAAAACTTGTCGTTTTGAAACCTTACTATATAGAATAAGTGGGAATTGTTGGAAGAGGGGAAGTGATTGGCTGTTAACATAAAAATACAATTATGAAAAATACTTAGGTCAGTTAATTGAATTGGATGGATAAGTCCTTGATGATATTGTAAGATTTGAAGTAATACTTTTAATTTTATATTAAAGAGTCTATATAGGTAATTAATGACATCATAATTCAAACCTGAGATGTGGCATAAGATAAAATTTGTCAACATTACCATTTTACCTAAGAAAAACCATGTTTTTAATTTTCATTAATACATGTGATGTGGCCAGGTGCAGTGGCCCACGTCTGTAATCACAGCACTTTGGGAGGATGAGGTGGATGGATCACTTGAGGTCAGGAGTTTGAGACCAGCCTGGCCAACATGAGGAGACCACGTCTCTACTAAAAATACAAAAATTAGCTGGGTATGATAACACACACTTGTAATCCCAGCTACTCAGGAGGCAAGAGAATGGCTTGAACCTGGGAGGCAGAGGTTGCAGTGAGCCGAGATCTTACCACTGCTTTACTCCAGCCTGCGCAACAGAACAGACTCTGCCTCAAAAAAACAATACACACACAGACACACACGTGTGTACCTACTTTAAAATGTGGTTAATGGCCTTTTTCTATAACACAGTGATCAAACACAGTCCAAACTATAACTAAAATACTATATTTAAACTACTCAATCTGAATTAATCTATTTGTACTAGATTTCTGGTTTTTTTGGAAAGTGGTTTAGTTTGGTCAGAGTACTTTTTTGGTCATGTACCTTTTAACAGTATATGGCAATGAAGATCAACACCAGGGAGTTGTGTTTGCTATAACTTTATATTTTGAAATAGTTTAAGCTACCTTAATTTTATTTATTGTAAAAGTTCCAGAAAAATCTTAAGAGCTTTCAGTGTGTAGGTTTAATGAAAACATCTGTCCACTTAACAAAGAAAATAGACTTTTTAAAATAAAAGTTCATCCTATAATTTTTAATTATAGATTACCATATTAAATTGAAAATATTTTTTATTTTAAATGTTCTTTTGATAAGTTGTTTTACTGAGTTATCCTCTTTTTTTTTTTGAATAGCCATTTTTCAGCTTCTAATCTTTTTACACTTTATGGCTCCAAATTTAATTCTGCACATGCAGAGACAGACTTTGGTCACTTTCTTTATATTCACATGGGGATAATTGTTAATTATCCCCATGTTAAGTAATTGTTATTCCTACCATTAACTAATCTTATTTGAGAGTTGTAGGGAGGAAGAATATCTTTATCCCAGATCTTTTGGGGATGAACTTTTTGAGAAGTTTAAGTCACTAAGGTATTTATTGAAAATCATATATGTGAAGTTGCATTATAAGCTGTAAAGCATTATATAAAAGCAATGTATTATATAAAGAAATATAGCAAGGTTCCCTAATCTTTGGATGTTCAGATGCATTCTGGTGATAATACATATTTTTATTGACATAATTTTAGGCTATATGGCTAAGTGCTTAGTGTGTTTTATAGACAATAACTTAGTGAGGTATATGTATATGTGTGCATGTATGTGTATATGAGATGGCTTGTGTATTAAAGAGGGCAGTCTGTGCCTGGAGTATGAGGAGCCTGCTGAGCCAGGAGTAGGAAGGAATAGGGAACTCAAGGTGTGGGTGGCTGAGTGAACAAAACTACATGTAAAGTTTCTTTGAGAGAAAGTGAGTAGGCCAGCCCAAGCACAAGGCTTGTGAATGAGAGTCTTTGATCCCATGGAAGAGAGTGGGGAGAATCATTAGAATGGGACAAGACTGTGCAATGCATATGCACTGCAGAAAATTGTTCAAGTTGTTCAAATTACTCCTGACACTGGGGACTCTTTCAGGGTTTGGACGCAGGAGAGTGATGTGGTGCAAGTATGTTAGGAAAACTTATATTACATCTATTAATGCGATACCGTGTTGGTACTGGTTTGATAGAGATCTTTTTACAACCTCTTGTATGTTTCCCTATTTAACAGTTTACTGTCCATAATTTAACTTTTGGTTATTCTAGGTTATTATGAATGTAGATTAATGGGTAAGAATTTTGCTATGCTCTAATGTAATGATACTAGTAAGTCCCAAAAAGCTGTATTTAGGGATGTTTGTCCCTGTACTAAATAACCCCAGACTACACTGTGGCTATACATGACATTTTTGTCTTCTACTTCATTATGAAAGTAATATATTTTGAAATATATCTCATATATAAAAATTCGAAGAATATGGTAAAGTTGGATTTTAAAAATTTACCAGTACAAAACATTTTGGAATAGTATCCATGTCTGTCTCTTCCTCCCTCTCCCTCTCTCTCTCATTCTGACCACATAGATTTTTTTTTTTAAGTTAATGCACATTTTTGAATTTTTGTAGTCACTTTTTAGATATTATGTTTTTGTATTTTGCTATTCCATTTAACAACAGGTGGGTTTTTCATGTTATAAACTGTACAAAGTAGAATTTTTGTGACTATATAATGATCCATTGGGTAGATTTACCTATAGCTTTTTAACCATTTTCCTGTTGTTGGACATTTAGGTTTTCTCTAATTTGTG